AGTGGAATGTGTAAATTAGATTTGGGACACAACAAGTACAGACAGTGATCAATCTCTCTGTTCTGTATATTTTCTTTTGACTCGATCCTACGGGACAGATCTTCGTACCAAACAGGCTACGTCTATTGATAAGGGTCCACACTTGTCTGATTATAAAAACTTCAATAATCTTTTAGTTGTGTCAAGTCAAGACGTGAGAGTCACAACTTAAAGCTATGAAATTGATTTGATAACTTTTACTAGTAAACAAAACTATTTTGCTTCTCTTTTTTCTTGCCCGGTAAAAACATAAGTACAAGTCACATTATATACCCAAACCACTATCAAAATGAAATATGATAGAACGTACCTAACCTATATATATGCATTTTTACAAAGTAGAACATTTTTGCTTACTTATCAGACACCATCACAACTCCATCTTGAGGTCGGAATACAGCGAAGGTAGCGACACCAATGGCAGTGATCGTTCCCGTCTTCTCCTCTAAATAGCATCACTAGCGAAACGACGAACCTGCGAAAACCGCCACAACATTCACATAATTTATTACATTGTGATTCCACATTGAAATGACAGGAGTGATTGATTCTTTTACCCGGCAATCAAAAGAGATACAGAGAGGAACCATAACAGGTATTGGTAAGGCTTGTACTTAGATCTCAGACGTGTTTGAGGCATAAGTTCTCTTGCTAACCACTTGAACTGAGGACGAGGCAGCAGAACAAAACCGAGGAGAAACCCCGATAGAAATCCACCCAAGTGAGCAAAGTTATCGACGTGTGGTAGAACCCCAACAGCCAGGTTTATCAAGATGACAAACACAAGCGTGAGGAGCGCCGCAATCTGTACATTATACGCAAAATACAAACTCATTAATCGAAACCACAAAATACGGTTCTTCTATCGAGAAATTAACCTTGTTAGAGTAGATAGTCCAGTTAGTTAGAAGCTCGGAAAGCATACAACCAAGAAGGCCAAAAAGAGCACCAGAAGCTCCAACAGAGATAGAGTTTCGGATAAACAACGAAGACAGTATTGTCCCTCCAACTCCTGATACTAGATATATAATCCCAATCTTAACTGCAAACCATTACAAAACCACCACCAAGATTCAGATCTCTATGACAGTTTTTACACAAATCTTTGTCAAGGTTAATCACATACCGAAACCGAATTGCTGCTCGAGTCGAATACCGATGAATAGGAGGCTTAGCATATTCATTGCAAGATGAATAACACCAGCGTGTAACCATATACATGTCAAGAGACGCCAAGCTTCATGCTCTTCCACAATTCTACTCCATTCAAGTGATCCTAACTTCAACAATCTGCCAAAACATACAAAAATCATGTCCCTGTAAAACCAGAAATCCTATACGATTTCTAGAACACTTAATAATCATGTAACCGACAAAAATTAGGATCCGCAAATTTCGGAAACAGAACAAAAAAACGTGATTCATTCACCCAAAACCCTAAATTCTTCGAGAAACTACCAATTCGAGAAACGTACGTGCGAGAAGAGGGACCGAAGAGAGGATTAGTACGGAGAGGCTCGAAAGAGAGACGACCAAGGAACTTAGCGACACAGTGGTGGCCATGGAGACGGTGAGATTCGGAGTGTTTAGGACAGTTATTGACGAACATCACAACGAAGAAGACGACGATGTTAGCGAAAACGATCATCGGAACAAGCCACGACGTCCACTGAGACGTAAACCCCTCACCGGTTACAGTAGAAAACGCTAA